AAATATATTTAGACTAGAAGTATGTAAACTAGTATGACAGTTAGATATAATGCATATTTGATAAGAAGGATAGAATACAAGATTGCGCCGTCCTGGCGGCGATGACATATCTGTACAGAAAGTAAACAAAGTCGATTTGGATGTTGAAAGAAAATGGAGAACAGCCAATTTTCTTAATAATACATTTTTCGATAGGGAACGTGTTTTAATTGTGCTAAATTCTAATAGCCTTATTCAAAAAAAGCAAAGTAGCTTTAAAAAAGGTTTATAAATTGAAAAATGTTTGCAAACGGCAATCTAAAAAGCTTTTTAAAAATTTAATTTTTTAGGAATAAGGCGATAAAAATATATGATTTAAAATAACTTTAAACCAGGAAAATATGAAAAAAGGCGATTTTTGCGGAAGTAGGTATTAGTGAATTGCAGTGCATTTAGAGTTTCTGAGGTTTCGTTTACTTTTAGATCAGAATGGTCAAAATTGAGAAATTCAAAGTAGCAGTACAATAATAATAGAAAAGAAGATTGAGCCCTGAATGTTCTGGTATCTTTTTTGGTATCGGTTTGACAGCCAGCTCCTGTGATGATGTGGAAATTTACCACAATGAAGAAAAATATAACAATTAGGTGAAAAAAAATTGATTTTTACAAATTTAGTGAGCAGTAGCGCGTTATAAGAACGATATTTCGGACAAATCGTTAATGAACAACTATTTTTCCTTCCCGTCTGCTTTGGTTTTGGTAAAAAAGTTGATTAGTTCTTGCCGGCGATCAAGTCATTTCAACCACAAAATACTATTATTTGTAAGAACCATTCACTAAAATTGTAACTAACTTTTTATTATTTATTAATTCCTTTTGGATATTCAGCAATAGCAAGATAAAAAAAAAATATAAACTAAAATTAGTAATATTTTTATGAATGTAGTTATAAAAGTTCACAGAGGAAACGCCGGAAAACAATGTATTCGCAACGACATAAAATGTATGGCAATTTAGATGTCAACAGAATAATAACTACGATAAAAAGCAGGAGAGAAGTGTGCGAAGAAGAAATCTTTTCAATTTGAGCAAAAAAAGCTTTAAATGCCGTTGTAAAACGGTCAACAAATTTCTTATAAAATATTTTGATTTTTACCATGGTAAAATCTTTGAGAGACAGTCTGACGTTTGCCAGCAATATAATTTTAAAATTCGAACTCAAGCTCACACACACATTCTGATTTTTAATCTCAAGCAACAA